CTGAGGCTGAAGATCTGGCAGCGCCTGGAGTCCCCAAAGTCATATCAGTCCAAGGATTATATAGGGATTATATAGGGGTTATACAGGGGTTATATGGGGGGTTATGTAGGGTTTACATAGGGTTTGTAGGGTTTAGGGTTCGCATTCAATCTCTGAAAATTATAGGCCTCCTTGAGGATGGTTTCGCCCTTCGTCGGCCATGGATGTTGTTGAAAATCAGGGCCGTGGTAAGGTCGGTCATGAGCGGAGCAATGCCTACGCAAGCCTCATGGGGGTTTCCGTCAATCAGGGATGTCTTGGGGATACAAACAGCAAGGTTTTTGGGTTCTATAGTGGGTTTCTCCTGTTTATGGATACTACCTCCAGCTGTCTCCAGTTCATGTTCCATTTGGTTATGTATCTGCTTTTCCATGGTTCTGACAAGCTTTAGGCAATCATTGGTACCTTCAAACTAGCATAGAACTTCACAAGCTGCACTATATAGACCACTGTCCCTGTAAACGTGGCCTCTTTGGAGTTCCACCAAAATTTTGGGGGAGGGTGCATAGTTTGGTCCCAAGGTTGAATGGAGTAGACCAGGCAAGAAGGTCTTGTAGATATTTACATACACGCACTCGCATGTATATACATATTATGTATATACGATATATACCCTATAAACATATCGTTGCATATATATATGATGGTTCTCTGGGTAGCCTGTGATGTAAGGTAATGCTTCTGTCATGTGTAGCGGGATCCTTGAAGTGGCAGGCCAGAACTCGACATGCCCCTCCCGACTAGTGCTGGATATCCAGAAGAAGGAGAAATGCATCAAACAAAAAACATGTGACAACAGGAGGAGGGGCAAACGGTAACCTTTGGATGAAGTGATTGCTCCTGTACAGATCCTACGTCCTCAGGCCATTCGAAGAGAAGCAACATATACCCCATAATAATTCCCATGCAGACCCATTATAGTAGTTTCCATAGTATTTTCCATTATCCCTATATAACCCCCTATACAACCCCAATGTAGCCCTCATTTTGAGCAGTTCCCAGGCAGCTTCAAATCTGTGTCCAGCATCCCAAAGAGGTGGGAACTCGAACTGCAGTTTGGGTTCTATAGGGGTTATATAGGGATAATGGAAAAGAAAATGGAAACTAAAGGGGTTATGTAGGGGTTATATAGGAATTTTAGGGTATATGTTAGGGTTATATGGGGATAATGGAAAAGCAAATGGAAACTATCATCTAGGGTTTAGGGTTTTGGGGTTAGGTCTTGGGGATGTATAGGGGTTATATAGGGATAATGGAAGATACTATGGAAACTACTATATTATAATAGGGTACATATTATATAGGGGTTATATAGGGATAATGGAAAATACGATGGAAACTACTATAATGGGGTTGTATGGGGACTATTATAGGGTGTCTACTTGAAGGTTCATTTGTAGCTATCTTTGGGCTGAGAAGCCGCTTTCAGAATTGTCCCGATTTCTTGACCCCACTTAAAGCTACCCATGAACTTCCGAGTAAGGTCTGAAAAAGTTCAAGGAGAGAATGTGACAGCATGTTAATTCATCGTTGCCAAGCTAGTTGCTTTTGCCCTTTTTCCATGCGGAGTTGTGCGCTGGGGACCTCGGCAAAATAACAGCATGGGTTGTTCTAATGCCGCCACCAAGCCGGAGCCTACGTAATTGCCAATCTGGGAGCACGGATGAGGTGCTTCATTTTGTGATGTCCGTGTAGATGACACAATTCAGCGGCATTGAAGTTTTAGTCCGTTGGGCACATCTTAGGAAGGCAATCGCGCTTTCGGGTCCTTGTGTATGAGGACTCTCCCAGATGAGAGTTGCGGCACTTGCTTTGACATACAGCCAAGCAATGTGGCATGAACCTGGCACCTAGGCCCTGAACCCGAACATATTTTGCATCCCGATGGCAGGTTTCGTGTGGCATGGGAGAAAGGCTTCCGCGGAATCGTGGCAGCTGTGTATGCGGATATCCTTCAGGATGGGAATTGAGGCGAATTCCTGTTTCAAGAACGTTGAGTGGATTTCGGAATGGCTCTTGCCACCCCGGCCTTGCTGCACCTGTTCCTGCCGCCGCTGCAGCTGTTACTGCCATCAGCAATCCTGCAGCTGCTGTAAGATGAGAATATTTCAAAGCATTCAGCGTCCTTGGATCAGACCTGCATTCATTTCTATGCGAACTGCTTAGGTTTCGATTGGGGCCAAGTTGCCGTGAGTCATGCCTTCTCAAAGTTCAGGATGTCTTGTGGAGTTTCCAATGTCGTGCTCTGTCCCCGGAACCCCCCAACCCTGCATCTATTCTGGGTGTCTCAAAATGCTCCACCCTCAATCCTTAATTATCTTATTTGGGCCACCATACTTAGATTTCCATATATTCCCTAAGTATCCATTGGTTTCATGGCCCTCCCCCCCCCCCATTTTTCGAAGCCGAAAGGACCGAATGGCAGACAGCCGGATCGAGGTCCCTGAGGCAAGCAATACGCAATCTGGGGTTTGGTTACTTGTTATGGTTTCGAGATTCGCAAAATTTACAGGCCACCTCTGGGAGAATATTTGAATAATATCAGTTGCTAGCGCATAGATTCTGCGATTTGTGTGAAATGTCCTAGCTGGCAATCAGATGCCCTGCAGCTCTCAGCTGAGGGCCTCTTGAACTGTAGGTCTTCGTCTTTATTGGTTCTGCATATCCCTTTCAGGAGATGCTGTTGGGCCCAGGATGTGGGTATATCTCAAAATAAAGGCCTCCTTCAAAATCCCACGAGCGTACTGCAGTTGTTACGAGGTGAATAATTCATCTTGCGAAGCTTCCCTTCATAGCTCAGGATTAAGCCAATAAACTCGCACCGTCAAGATTGCTCACAGCCATCTGCCGTCATATAGCAAGTTCTCAAAACTTTGGGTTCATTGGGGGAGTTTATATGCTGAGGCCGAGGAGACTTTGAGGGTGTATAGGAGAACCTCACTCCCGGCTCCTTGAAGAAGAGAAGGTTTCGGTCTTGTAGCCCACTTGGCTAGGCCAGGAGCACCCCATATAACCTGATGAAAACCTGCACGGCAAAGGCAACCCTGATTGATGGGCGCAACAACCTCTTCTTCCTGCTCCTGCGCGTCATTCAAAAAGACAGGTGCTCAAACGGGTGGTTCTTCTACGTGTACATGCGCTATGCTTCCTTTCACGAATGTCTTATCGACAGGGTGGAGATGACCCTTTACAAGTAGCGGCACTCAGAATACACACTTGCCAACGCCTCACAGGTCTTCTAGAAGGAAGGTTGCAGTTAGGACCTTCAGCTCTCATGAGAGCTCTGATCAAGTTTACCGTTTAGGTTGTCCCAGCCGGCTGAACCCACCAAGAGTTGGACCCCAAACCTGGAGATCTCCTTTGGCAGGGATTTCGAGACGGTCTCTCCCATTGAGGAGCCGGAGGATCCAGGCTCCTTTGGAGTAGGAGCTGCATAACAATACTGTGGAAGCCTGAATAGGATCTAGACTCTAGGTATCATTCCAGCATAGTAGCAAAGGGTGCCTGAGATATGACATTGCTAAGTCTACAAACTTCTACATGACCTTCTGCCAAACGAGCATGAAACCTCGAAAGGGTACTAGAAGGACTACTGTGCTTTTTAAAGGGGCCTCTGTGTGGTTCCATGTTAGTTTGGGCCAGGGTGTTTTCCTTTACATAGGAATAATCACAAGAGTTCACGGGTACGACTACGTTTTCTCTTCAGTTCTATGGCTTCATAAGAACGATCTATCGGCAGCTAGTTCGACCACCGCGAAGCACAGCTCAGATGATGAAAGCAGGGCTCATTTTGTTCTAGTAAACTTACAACCATGAAGCCATACACCCCACTTCAACCGTGGGTGCCTGGTGGGGAACTTGCAGGCTCAGAACCTTTATGGAAAATCATCGAAAGCACGCCAAAGCCGCACAATGGCCAGGGGGCGAGGCGGGCGTCGAAGAGTAGATAATTGATGTGTGAACACATTTGGATGATTCTAAAAATTATGGCCCCTTTTGGTTATAGATTATATGTTTTTGGCGGTGCCATGGGGGTTTCAGGTCTTTCAAGTTTCAAGGTTGACTTTCCTGATCTCTCGTGGAAACGGTTGAGAATCTAATTATTCCCCACGGGAATTGGGTGGCTATCCCGATTGAAAGATGATTTCCCAAGTCATGCATGGCTTTTCCTGATATTTCCGAGACGTTCTTTTTGCCGCCCTGAATCTGAAATCCTACATGCCTAAACCCTAAACCCCTTTTTGAGGCTCCCAGACTTCCCTGGTTCTTGCCTGGGGTACCATGGTTGCCTTTTGCAATTCCACGCTGCGACTATTCTCTAGGATTTGGGGCTTTCGGGCGAATGGAATCGTTTGATAAGTAGTTGTTACTTGCAGATACCAGTGTCTCTGATGTAGAATAAGATTACATCCCTCTTTTTGGGTATGGTAGCTCTCATGCTATTAGGTTCAACCATCAAAAACCTAGTGTTAAATCCTCAACCCTGAACCCTCAACCCTAAACCCTAAACCCTGAACCCTAAACCCTAAACCCTGAACCCTAAGCCCTAAACCCTAACCCCTGAACCCCCAAACCCCAAGCCTTAAACCCCATGAAGGCAGAGTGAGGAAGATGAGGGCAGCTGCCATGCGGTGCTCCTCGCACAGGCGCAGGTGGCCTTTTCCAGGGCTCTGAAGCTTCCATGAGTCTAAGGGGTTATGTGAGCTATAGTCTAAACTCCTGAGAGGGGGATTATGTAGGGGAATATATAGGGGACCACTATAGGTGTTATTAAGGGGGATACTAGGAGTTTAGACTAGGGGTCATGTAGGGGTAATATGAGCTATAGTCTAAACTAATTAAAGGGGGTTATATAGAGCACCAGCAAGTAGGGCCAGTATACCCCAAATACAATAATGCCTACTATCGCAAGATATTGGCCCCGAGCCTTTAGGTGGAAGATTCCGGACTGAGGGCTTTGAGAGCTTTGAGGGCTTTGGGTGCGAGCTTTGTAGGAGTTTTGAGCCTTAAACTAAACCCTCAAGCCCTACACCCTGAACCCTAAAGGGGTCCCAGGGTTTCTGCCTAAGTTTCGCGGCCCCTTCGCAGCTTGGAAGCATTTTCATGCTGGCGTCCTTGCCGAAGCCCCACCAAAAGTAAACAAGACAACTTCACTGAAACGGGATGCTTAACATGGCCTGTTGAAGAGCCTTCAGGTTGAGATTTTTTTGGGATGGGTCGGATGTTCAACTCAGGTTCTCTGGGGGTTATATAGCGGAAATATAGGGATACTGGAAAAGAAAATGGAAGCTACTATATTATAAAAGGGTATATATATATATACACCTTTTACCGTTGAAATTGCCTTGGCTGTCCACCTAGAGCAGTGGGCCACTCCATTGGGGGGCATCGTTTTTTTCTTGTGTTCACAGTACAGCCCGTGAGAAGATATAGCTGCTTGGTACAATCCTTGAATCTGACTCCTGAGCTTAGTCATGAAACCTGAAACTTTTCTTTCAAACCCCAGGGCCCTTGGTAAAGTCTTACCTGTCCGTCTGGAGAAAACCAGGAGGAGGGCGACATGGCCACGCAAAAGGTCCAGAGGAGTCAATGTAGTGGTTGGGATTGAAATCTTAATCTTTCTTTAAGGATCTAGGTTTTTTCCAAGGAGGTTATTTGTTTCGGGGAGAGGAGTCTTGTTGGATCCTGGTCTGGGTTGTCGTTCATGTGACGATTTAAGCCTGCTAGCAGCAGTTCATTCTTAAGGTTATCTTCTTTTGAAGTCCTATCCCCCGGGCCTCAAGCCAGCATTCCTCCACCTACCGCGCTATCCCAATTCCTGCTCGCACCATAGCATTTGTAAGACTTGTGAACATGAATAGCTATCGTTAGCACGCTTTTTGATCACACTGCTCGGGCCGTTAGTATGGTACGATTAGAAGCACATACCGTCCAGCTTATAACATCACTCTACCCACAATCGTAAGGCTGGCTGCTATTCTAAAGCACAAACCACACCCAGAATCTGAAGCACCAAGTCCTGGCCTGTCATCAGGAGGCTCTCAGATCATCGTCGGGGTCACTTCGCGTCCTGGCACGAGTTCTGGAGCTATTATCGCGGCTCGGCTTCTGGATATTGCTGGGGGGCTTTATAGGGAGCTACGCGTAAGTGTGCTTCTATACACGCCACATATGGTTACAGCCCTACTTGCCCAGCTCGGATTGGCCTCTGAGCCCCGACCAAAAGCCAAGGAGAGGTATAGGGAATGCTGTAAGGGCTTGTTGGCGTGAGGTGGTGAGTCTGCGGGGCTTTTGTGTGGAGTGCTCGCATTATTTGGCATCCAAGGTCAGATAGACAAGGCGCGCCGAACCTGTCGGATGGAGGGCTATCTGATACAGCGGTTTCGAGTAGCCTTTTTTCCCCCTAAGTTCTTTATGGAAATATGCTATTTTTAAGAAACGATGCCTTTTTTGGTCCTAGGTGACTGGGCGTCCTAGGATATAGTTGGGATATATGTCTCAACGCAACGCCCTATGTCATCCCCAGAAATCCGGAAGGTCCCTAAGGCCATCCCATTCTCAGATAGCTGACCCCTAAATCCCGAACAGTAGCTACCACTTTCTTTTCGATTACCCTTTTAATCCCTATATATCCCTTCATCCCCCGCCTTCCACCCAGCGGCCAGGCTCCTCCTTCATCGGGGCCGTGTTGGCGCCGGGAGCTGACTCAGCTGAAGAGCAAGGAGCCTGCATTGTCTGGTAGTGATGGGCTCCCCTACTACCTCCATACTACCACCCCCTTGGTTTTCCCCCCTAAATTAGGGGTTTAGGGTTTAGGGTTTAGGAGAATGATTTGGGGGTGAGCTTGGGGAGGGGTAGTAGGGGGCTAATGGTGCGAGGTAGTTGGCCATCGTATGGGTCTTAGCGCCAATTTGCACGTTCTGGATCATTAGGCTTCAGGGTATGTGTTGGGCGTGGGATCCATTCATTCGGCAGGCTGTGGCTTTGAGGCAATCGAGAAAAACATCTTGTCACTGCCAGATAGAACGGCAGGCGGTGTTGTTGGACTGAGCCTGCCAGTCAAAAAGCATTTGGAAAGGTACGTGAGGTGGGATGAGACTCCTCCATCCGCAAGACGAACACGACCCAAGTTAGTTGAGGTACTCGCACCAATCACATGCGGTGTAGTCTGTCTAAAAATCGCGACATGTGCTCCATCAACAGTACCCTTTGCTCCATCCCTGTCGCCGGCAGCCCCCACAGACACGTCAATTGCATGAAGCTTTTCCATTTGGCCATGCGCGCTGCTGAAAGTGTCTGAGCTAGACGACTGCAGGGCGTGAGCCATGAGCCTTCATCAAGCTACTGGCTCGTGTCAGTATATGGCAATCTCTGTCAACTGCACGCCCAAACTTGTTTTGCTTCATCCTTTCAGGTCTAGGTCCCGCAGGTGTCCCTGAAGGTATCCCTGAATTCTAAGTGTTGCTTTGATAACAACGGACCCCTGAAGTTCAGTGCCTCTTGGACAGGGAAGGTTCGAGAACCTCTACCGGATGTCTCGACCGCACCTCGCAGGAAGCAAAGGTTTTGTGTTCGAGTTGTGGCTCAGTAAGGGATATATGGCTGTGGCGAACTTGTGTTCATGGCTGTTAGGTTTGGACTTGTGTGACGAGTCCTTGACGCTTTGCGTGTTGCGTATGCTCAATGGTCCGAAGTGATACTGTGATATGTTTGTATGATTCTAGAGTTGAGGGACTCTTGTTTTGATATTTGCTTACAGTGAGACGCTCCCTGCATGTTGGCGCCTTTTAGTAGCACCCGTCAAACGCATGACCATTGAGTTTCCATACTGATATGCTGTTGCCGCTGCTGCTGCTACTCCTCCTATTCTCCTATTCGTACTCTTACTCCTACTTTTATTACTGCTGCTGCTGCTGCTGCTGCTGCTGCTGCTTCTATTTAGTGTCTACTGATGGATGACTTGGGGCGCACCTTGTGCAAGTTTGGTACTTGGTGTGTGGGTCCCTCCCTCCGAGCACGCTCGGCAATAAGCAACGTCTAAAGGGTAGTGGTGGGGAGGCCCATCACACAGGATAGCTGCTAACTAAGGACAACGAGGGCCTCTGCGGGATCAACGGGGTCGGATGAGTTTCAGCTTCTCGCCAGCGGTGCGTAGATGCTCAGCCCGCGGTTCCCACTTCCATCTTGAGTACGGAAAGTAATTCCCTCCCCTAGTACTGGCTAAGAAGAAGAATGAATTCAGCAGAATTTCTGGGCATTGCTGCCAAGTTGTAACCCTATGGTGGGTCGAGAGCCAGGGATGGTCTACTAGACTTCAGACGGATTTCAAGGGGTGTAGCTCGCTTCTGAGGCTACTGCTTACTGAGGGGCCAAGGGAGATAGATTCTCCTTGAGCGAAAGACAACAGGGCCAGTTCATATCGGTTTTTGGGCTGGGTTGTTTCAGACGACCCTGGGTTCGGCATAGTTGTCCCTCTCAAGCCTTGAAAGACAAGAAAATGTGAGCGCACGCCGATTATAGAGTCGAACGCAGGGGCGGTCCAAATTAGGGGATGCTATTACGACGAAATCTCGGCTTGAATTTTGTTGAACTACCAGGTGCTGGTAATGACAACCTCTGCTGACGGATCATTCGGAGTTCTAAGGCTAGTGGATGTTGTCTTGGAAGGCCACTTTGACTCAGGTCTTTGTGGTACTTCAAGTCGTGCTTCTATTGCTTGCACTGCTGCTGGTAAGCCGGATGCTTTTGGATTTAGTCTACGCAACGTCCAGCAATCGGACAGCCCTCCACGTCGAAAACAAATTCGCTGCAAGGGAACTCCAGCTTAAATGAGCGCCTTCGTCATGTCTTTGTTAGCTTCTCGCCAGAAACGTTACAGATAGCTTCTGAAAGCAACGCCAAAAATTGAGCCCGTTGTGCTCTCTTTGCAGCCCAGGGTTCGGTACAGCAATCTTGTGAATCCACCATTTATGTGGCCAGACACCAAGATGGGATTGCGCATGAAGTCCCATACCAAAACAAACAAGAGCCGTGCAAGCCACAAAGTAGACAAGGTTTTGCCCAAGTGTAGACTTCAACAGTATAATTATCCGAAGCCTGGCGATCCCCTTGAATGGATTTTTTCCAACTTCCCATGAAGAAGGTCAGAAGGTGCACCTGCGTCTTTGGAACCAGACTCGCCGCTCCTGATGCCGCTCGGTGGCCACAAAGAAGCAAAGACGCCACTATCTTCTGTTACTTTCCACAAGGCCCAAAACGCCCTAGCTCAACGACTTCGTAGCGCTAATCCTTGGGCTTGCCACTGACCAAGCTACAAGTTACAGGCTCAAGGGCACTTTGTGTTTGTATAGTATAGGGTCTGTTTCATACAATTTTCTTGAATGGGAGCGGGCCATGCGTTTCGATGCTCTTTGGTCTTCTTGCGTCTTTGAACATACCTCTCTCAAGGCGCTCCTCTGTCATCTTTATAACTCATGGTTCCCAGAATTTTGGATTGCTTAGAATACACATTCTTGGGGCGCATGGTAAGGAGGGGTAGGGTAGACTTTCGAGTGCTTAGCAGGGAATAGGGGAATACAATCACTGTGTAATCCCTATATACTATATTCCCTTATTCCCTACCCTAAGCCCTAAACCCTAGATGTTAGCTTCAATTTTCTTATCCATTATCCTTAAGTAACCCATTTATCATGCCCCTATATTCCTTTATTTTAAGTAGGTTGTGGAGCAAAACGTTGAGATGACAAGGAGACGTGGAGCTCTCACGGAGGATCGGAACGCCTTGGCAGAACGGTATCTTGCCTTCGACTATATAACGCCTGTATTTTTTATATAAGGGCATGGAGGGTTGAAGGTCTAGGTGTAAGGAATAATCAAATTGAATGGAAGATGAAAATATGGATGGGAGCTGGGTTTAGAAAATTGAATATATGAGTATATATACAGATATGTAGGTTTACACAGTACAGTAGAGTTGGGCCGCGACCCTCTAATGGCTGAACGGGCGACGCTTGTTTCTACCTCTGACGTGACAGGTTTCCTGTCAATGTAAAGGGGCATACATAGATGTTCCGCCCTGAGATACTCGCCAACTCGGCGGTATTCGAGCTTCCAGGACTGACAGCAGATGCTGCTGGGCAGATAGGAAGAAAGCACTGGATTGCTTGGGATTTCTTGGCTGTTGGTGGAGTTGAGCCCTCTGTGATCGCGGAAGGCAGGCTTCAGCCGCATGGGATAAGGGCTCATGTTATCTGGTTCATAGATGGACACATCCGCATTTTGTCCAGTGGGCGCATGAAAAGAGATCCAGCCAGCCTCAACCTTTTTGACGCTCACAGCTTTTGCGCGGGAGGACCACAAGAAGTGCCAACAGATGCTGGACAACATCGAGATGCCGACGCACTGCGCATTGTTGCTACGGTCCGGGAAGGCCTGCAACCCTGAGCTTGTTGAATGCAGACATAGACGTTAGTCGTGGCAACAGCAATCGCAGCACAGTTGTCGGGAAATGCATCCACATGGAGAAATACAAGCCTGCCAACACTTTTGTGTGCTATCCGCGGTGCGGGTGATGTCACGGGCTGCTGGTGCTGCTGGGCATAGCAGGCGAGTTGAGGATGCTTGTGCACAAGACCATTTTTGCAAGCCTTGTTCATGAGCAGGGTCTCAGGTATTAAGGACACTCCAGTCTTGTGTGAGGTGAGGGCTTTTTTGAGCTGTCATACAGAGTCCCTCTCTCTAGGGCCCATCTGGTCTAGTGCGGCACACAAGCATTGCAAAGGCAGAGAGCCATGCGCTGCTTGCAGGAGTACCATTGTCCCAAGCGCCTGGGACTTTCGCTGTCTAACCTGCCGCCAGTGCCACACGCCATCCAGAGCGCGAGAGCAGGGAAGCAGGACTGGCGGGCGCAGCTGCTTTGGAGATCTTAGAGTTTAAAGCTTAATTCTCCCCCGCCTTGAATGCAACAATTCACGAATTTGGATTTTGTTTGGCCAGAGCCAGCATAAAGAGTGCCGAGTCCAAAGTTTCGCAGAATTGGTCATGGCGCTTGTGCATAAGAATATACAAGTGCATATATATATATACATGTATATGTATATGTATATGTGTATGTATGTATGTATGTATGTAAGTATACATTTCTTTTATGCGTACAGTCGGCGAGGGTGATGATAGTAATGCACAGGAACGAGGGGATGCATGTGCATGACGACAAGCAGTTCTTGCTGCTGCCGCTGCTACTGCTACTGCTACTGCTACTGCTACTGCTGCTGCTGCTACTACTACTACTACTACTGCTGCTGCTGCTGCTGCTGCTACTCCTGCTGCTGCTGCTGCTCCTCCTACTCCTACACTATTATCATTATTACTACTATTACTCCTACTCTTGCTGCTGCTACTCATGGTCTTGAAGCTGGCAGGAGTCCCCAAAGCCGCTTCACTTTGGCTCCTCGACGCCTTTGGAAGATTTGGAACGAGGATCACAGTATTTTGGGGTCTACATTGGGTTCCCCCAATTTTGGAAAGCTGCCATTTAGGGTTTATGTGCTTCATGGGTCAGCAAGGATTCAGAGTATAGGGCTTAGGCTTAGGTTGCGGGTTGAAGGCTTGGGGGTGTTACAGAATGCTGCAGTGCCTAGGCATAAAGCCATGGAGTAGATGAGGTGGATCAAGTGTCCGAACTCAAACAATTGATGCAGAATTCTTGTACGACCTAGGCTCTCTGAACTACGGCAGGTCTCACATTTGGCTGTATTTCATGTAGTTAATTTCTTGCAGCAGCAGCAGCAGCAGCAGCATCGCAATATGATTTTTCGTGCAGCCGGAATTTCATGAAGCTTCGACAGTAGGAGCAATGCTTCCAGGTGCCGTTACGGCCCGGGAGTCCATTAGCGTCCGCAGCCGCCTCGAGCGCAAGCAGGCAGGGCTTCGAATTCTTGGCATGAAGTTTCCTTGTCTGGCGCGGGGGGCTTCAGCGGTGCGATCGGTTGATTTGGGTTTCAAAGGGTCACCATCACCATCATGAGAGTAGTTCGAGGGAGTATGTAGAAGATACTGTTAACCTCGGTCTTGTTGCGTGGGAATGTCATGGTGAACAAGAGTGCGTGTTCTTGTTACTCCTAAACTCGACTTGTCAGACTCTTCTTGCAATCTGCGCTATCACGAGCTCCAAACTCCACTACCGCAGTCATCAGGATGATCCACTACCATCATCCACACGCCTTAGCAGCGCATACCTTCTGCAGTCACTTGTTTCTTCTGTATTGCTGCAGATATTCGGGGACTTCTGCCGCCGCAATGCCGCCACCTGTGACATAACACTGCAACCTGTGCCTGATGCCACACACAGCCTGAGATCTGCCGCACAGCTTGCATTCCTCTGCCAGTGATAGATCCTTGTCCCACGTAGCAGATAGATCTTCCCAGAAACGAGGGGTCTGCTTTTTGACTCTGCAAATGAGCACCTATATTAAAGTAGTTGCTGCTTTCTTTTCCATTATTTCTATACAACCCCAGTATATTCCCTATTATACTATAGTAGTTTCCATTTTCTTTGATTTTTCCATTATCCCAATATAACCCCACTAGATTTTCTTCATAGAAGTGGTTGCCCTCTGCTTTTGGAAAGGACGTATATGCAGCTTTCCTTCCGAACTAGCAACTCGAATCTTCAGGGGCGCAGTCCAATCCTTGAAACAGTTGTTGAAGCTCCTGCCCCTTGAATCCTAAACACCAAGCACCCCAAATCAAAGGCAACTTGTGCCCTATCTGGGGTTTCTTTTTAGGCCTCCCCAAAGCCCTGAACCCTAAATCCTGAAAAAACCCTTGTGCCGCGGCGAGGCCGTGCGAATGTCAGAGCCCCTGCAGGCAGTCAAGCAGATGGCTGGACACTAGGCGTCAATTTGCTGGTCGCTGTTGGGGAACTGAAATTAGGTTACCACAATAAGGAAACCCCGTTATTCGTATATGCATTTTAAATAGTCAAGATGGGCTTTCCTTCTTGTAGGCATTCAAAACAAGTTCCTGAACAGCAGCCCAGTTTGTGCTGTTTCAGGGTTTAAGTATTCTTTATGGGTTAGGGCTTGCAGGGTTTGGGGCTACAATTGTGACCCATGGAAGGACGCAGAAAGTACATTCCCCTTAAGAGTTCCTACATTTTCCAGAATTGGTATACCGCCAGGGTACCAGGTAGAGATTCGACTGGCAGCTCCTCGCAGGTGCCTGGGGATGAGGGATCTCACATGCAAATAGAACAGGTTATACGAGAAAATGCTATAGTAGTTTCCATTCTTTTCCATTATCCCTATATAACCCCAGTATACTATAGTAGTTTCCATTTTCTTCTCCATTACCCCTATATATCCCAAAATACTATGGTTCATCCCTAGTCATTTAAGTACTATGTAATGATAATGGGCGCCCCGCTGTCGAAGTCACAGGTTCTCAGTTGAGGATTTCGAGGGCTCAGCAGCGGAGCAAAAGTTTTGCCTGCCCAGAGGACATTGCGCAAGAATGACAGAAAATGCACGAAAATGGAAACTACTATAGTGTATTGGAGCTATATAGGGATAACGGAAAAGAAAATCGAAACTACTACTCTAAACCCTAAACCCCTAAACCATACCATAATGTACCACCATGCCTTTGGCAAGCGGCAGTTGCTGTCTGACTTTGGGCTTTCTGGGCTCGGAGCCTGGAACCTAAAGCAGGTTCCCATTGGGGTATCAGGGTTATATTGGGGTTATATTAGGAGTATATTGGGGTTATATTGGGGTTATATTGGAGTTGCATTGGGGTTATATTGGTTTTTTTTTGGGCTTGTATTAGGGTTATATTGGGGTTATATAGGGATAATGCAAAATGAAATGGAAACTACTAGTTAGGGTTGCTTAACGGGGTAATATTAGGGTATTATTTGGGGTTATGTTGGGATGATGGAGACTCAAATGGAAAAGAACATGTTTGGGGTCTGCATAAAACCCTTAACCCCTAAACCCTAAACCGCATTTTTTGCAGAAGATGGCTCCAGGTGAGCAGCCCTCATCCAAGTGGCACCCAGGGCTCCATCACTGGGCCACTCGATCTGGCAATTGAACTTACTGGTTGTTAGTATGGAGTAGGGGAATATAGGCCCTTTACATATAATACAAATATATACCCCCTATTATCTATTCCCTCATTCCTTACTATGAACCAGCAAGTGAAGGGGCTCCAGCATGCACTTACTCGATCCATGGGCTACGAGGGAGCTACCTGCAATCAAAAGGGCAACCCTGCCATTCATTTTTTGAAGCCGTAGGCCCCTTGACATTCTTCGGCTATTTCTCCAATCATATGTTGCATGTGCATCGCGGTCACGGCTTTGATAGCCAATGAGTTTAGCCTGGGTGTGCTGTGGCTGGCGTTTCACTACATACTGATGTGTGGCCATTACACAACAGCAGCTACTTAGCGATCCATGTTCGCGATGCTGGTTCTGATGCAGCCAATGCTTTTCGTGTTTTGAGACTGATGATCATGCCGAACCAATTCTTCATTCTCAGTTGGCACAGTGGTTTGTGGTTCCATCATGCCTAGTGCGGCGAATGCTGCTTTAATCATGACTGCTACTGATTTGTGTAGCATGCCTGCCTGGTTCCTTACTTTCATGCAGCTGGTATTAGGTGCATCTCCGCACTTGGCGCAATGAGCACCATGGTGGCTTCTGCAGCGCCTTGGCCGCGTTTGCAAGAAGTCATGCACGTGTAAAGGGATAGGTTAGGGACTTGGCAGAAATGGATCGTTTCAGGCTTGGGGCCTCTGGGGGAATGCATGACGATGCCCACAACCTCGAGGTCACACTCACAAACCTTGAGGTCTTTCTCTTGGATGCGCTTGGGTTTTAGGGTTGGGAGCAGCACGCAGGCTGGATAGGTTAGCTCGAGTACTCTGCTCACCACATGCGCCGAGGCGACAAGCCTCGCGTAGCTTCGCCCGTCTCGTCGATGAAGCCCAGCATGACAGCGCAGGCCCATAGTAATCAATGTTGTTATGGAGCAGCTGTTGCTCAGTGCTGGCGGGGCGGGGGCACGGGCGGGGTCGGCGGTGGCGGCAGTACTGCATCTGCTGGTAGTGATGCTGTTCTTCTGCTGACCCTACAGGAAGGATTGATATTGCGTGTTGAAGCACTTGAAAGATTGCAGGTATTGCCTGACAAGACTACAGCGCAAACCCCAAAAGCCACCCACCGCCATGATGCTAGGTTGATTCAGAATGCTGGCGCTGGGCCGCTGGTATAGTCCAAGCAGTTAGCTTCTGTAATCTCTTGGCAAGATTGCGGGAGACCCTCCATCCTTAAGAAGATAGGCCTGCTACATTCTTGGGGTTGCAAAGGGTCTAGGGCTGCGGACCTTGCTGCGTTGGAAGACCTACAGTGCTCAGGTGTTCATACATTTGTTGTGCTCAATGCGCGCGACGTCGTATCACTTCCGACCTATTGGGGCTTCGTGCGGTTCATGCCTTGCGCTCCCCTCTTCAAAAAGTCTGTGCCCACGTGCCCAAGCAGTGGTCCCCAACCAGCACCTTATGCTGAACCCTCAGCCCTCAACCCTCAGCATTCGACTCTTGCAGGACCCACGCCCCGAGCCTCTGACAACCTTCCATCGACCATGGTCCGCGGAGCGAGGCTTGCGGTTTAAACCCCAGCTCCCGCTTGCTCTGCTTTGGGAACTTCCAAAGATTCGGAGTCTTTTCTGGGACCCTAGGTAGAGGTGCATCCGGCTGCCGCCCTTCCCTAAGGGAGGCGAAACAAGGGAAAGCACGGATGCCGGATGCACATAAAGCAAGCAATGGAAGGTGCGGGGGCACATCCAAACCTTAACTCAAGGATTTCAATGTTGTCGTGAGATTTCTGGACCTAGAGCCCAACTACCCCCAATTCAGGCACCACATACTTACTATTTGGGGCCATATCGTATGACCCCAATTAAAGGGTACTAGGAGGGACCTAGGATAGAGTCATGCACTTCCTCAACATGGGGAATGTACTCTGGAGCGTGGCTTTGAGCAGTCAGGAGTACTGGTGGTTGGTAGGGAACAAGGGAATATGTATGTTCCCTAGATAATCCCTGTATACTTTATTCCCTTATTCCCTGCTAACCCCCATTAAGTCTGGAGACATGCCTAGGCAATGGCTTCCCTTAGATATTCTCCTGAGTCTTCCGAATTCAAGCAGGGATCCATTTTGCCAAGGGCTGGAAGGGGATTCAGGGCTGTCCACTTGCGCAGGCCATCCAGCTGGTCAGAAAGCAGCACCTCCGCTCCAGCGCTATGCCAAGGTGCCCCTGCTTCAGTATGACAGGCACACAAGTTGTATTCTTAGCTGCACTGATAGCTGTCGTGGCAGTAGTTAGGAGAGTTCGAGGAAAGGGACTGCTGTAAGCGCTGTTCTGAACAATGGAGCCGTAGGACGAGCTTTGAATAATCTTCAATGCCAACAGTGATGCAGTGACTGCTAGATGAAAGGTGTGGCTGTGTGGCAATCGAATCATGCCTTGACACAATTTGAGCTATAGTCTAAACTCCTTAATAAAGAGGGGTTATATAGGGGATGATATTGGGGAGTACCAATGGGTTTATTAAGGGGGATACTAGGAGTTTCGACTATAGCTCATGTGGCTTTCAAGGGATATTCCGAAGCAGGGGTCGCAATGGAGCAGCTCAGTCAGTGGTACTATGTAATTGAAAATTCAGCTCTTGGATGTTGATCTGCCAGGAACAAGAAGAGATCTGCAAGACTCCAACAAACTACTGTTTGACAACTCTCAACCTTGAACACGCCTTGAAGCTCAAGTGTAGTTTAATTCAGAACGAGGAATATAGAACCATAGTGGTTATGATTTTTTTTTCCAATATGCTTCTGCTGCTGTACCTACAGTTTGTACAACATCCCATCCCTCAGGCCCTCAGGTAGACCGGCCCCGAAATCTTTCGGAGGTGTGTATGGACTGCGGCTTACAACCGCAGCAGGCAGTCGTTGGCTTCCTGGGTCAGCGGCTTTGCAGGAAGTTATCTGACGGGGTGCTAAAGCCAGTGACTAGGTACCCCAGTAGGACCCTTTTCCCCTTTTTATACTAAGGCCTCCTTATTTCAACTGACTGGTAGGAAAAAGGGTCCTTAGTATCAAGGAGTTATGGGGGGATCTAGATGAGGTTTGACTTGTATTGTGCCCTGGTTGTTGGAAGAGTGCGCCTTGTGAAGGAAAAGTCCAGTCAGAGCTGGAGGAGTATTGGAAGCAACACTTCAAGGACCGTTGTCGAGTAGGATTTTGGGTCCATTCCTTAGATCATTGACCTCTAAAAGGCAGTTTTCGTATTGCTGTCTGGTAGGTCGTTGTGAGGCTTATGCATCGAAAGCCTCCGATTACCCAGAAGTCCTGTAAAGGATTCAAATCAATGCGTTCAATGAAGGGGCATATGGATATTAACTGCACGAAAGTTGAAGAGTTCACCCAACATTGCTCTTTGCGAACAAGCTGACTAGCTGTCAGTATGTCGTCTGTTCGCTCTGTCATTGTTTTTTTTGCCAGAGGCTCTGACATTTCCAGGGGGAATGACCCAATGCAATCTGAAAAAAGGCACGGTGCCGTGCAAAGCCTGCCTTCACAATCCGCGACTTGGAGAGAAGGGCACTAAATAGTAGTTGCCATTTTCTCTTCCATTATCCCAATAGACCCCTAACACATATACCCCATAATCCCTATGTAACCCCTATAACCCAGCAAAGGAGTCTAACCCCTGCTTTCTGGCCCCAGCTTTGGCAAAACTCAGAGACTCGCAGCTCTGTGACAAACATTGACTAACACAGGATGCCCCTCAACTTACCTACCT